TTCACTTACCAGACGTGCGTTAGCCGACTCTTTTCTGACTCATGACTCAACCTCAGCTGCCACCGCAGTGACTCATCAAAAACGATGATATCAATATTTGGTGCAATTTGCAACTTGGTGCATATTCAGGCAAGCGCAGACGCTTATATACATAAACATGTAAGCAAGTGCAGCTAATTTCTGACACCGTTTCACCCTTGACCCACATAAGCAAACTAGCACAACTGTTAAACCTCAAATATTGAACAATGACATATTGACAGATATTTACACAGCAGAATACAAACGCGGATAAATTTAAACATTTACACATTAGTACTCCAAAACATTATTTAAACATTCACACCCCTGTTTCACGCGCATTCATAAAATCGAGCTGCTGCCTCTTTGCCAACATTTAGCACTCCTCTTCGCACCACATTCGAACTGCCTCGTACTTCATCAGCTAGTTGGCTCTCTTGAAACTCCTGATGTCGAAGAGAACCTCACAGTAGCCGTTAAAGCGGTACAGTAAAACTCATTACCAACTTTTCGGCGATGTCTTGCACCACGTAGCCAATTATGTACCGACCACAAATATGACAGTACTTCAACTGGTACTTTAAAATATTACCCATTACAAGCTGGAGAACATTTAACTGCAAATGAGTGGAGCAAGCGTTTGGAAAGGAATGCACACTAAACAGGAAACTATAACTTCATTCAATTGAATTGCACATCGTAAGTGCTTTTCTGTTTTCCATGGATTTTATCACTGGAAGGGTTCGATGGTCGTCGTGCGTCATGTCATTTCATAATCCCTTAAGAATAAGGTACTTAAAAAGCCAAGGGCGTGATTCTCTTATTTTACATACTCTCTAAGTTCATGAGAGTATGAAGTCTGTTAGTCGATCACAAGTAAGTATTTAAGAAAATTCTCTTACGTTGGACATATGGATATCTCTAAGCCTTTGGTTAGCGTTTTTCCGTTAATGGAATATTTTGACATTGATGAAAAGCTTGCACTGCTACCGTATACACTTGGAATCATACATTCAGTATGCGTCATCATATATCTCACCCAAACAGTAACTCGGAAGGTAGAGCGCCAAATTTACACCGGTAGATCATGGCTTTAAATTTCGATCGGGCGGTCCATTTACATCCTTTCGATGTAAATTAGCGAGTACTATCATTTAAGGAAGCATCAGACTATATGCTGCACTGACTATCAAACTCACAATACTGTTGTAGAGAAATGACACTTCTGGACAGAAGACGTCATGAACAGGACCAACGTCATACCGTCAGCTCCATGAAAGTGTTACTAAAAAATATGCAATGAAATGTATAAGAAGCCTACATCCCAACGACTACAAATATCCTTTCGTTTCTATTCGCACATACGATTTCATTCTTTAATCATCGTCCCTCTGCACAAAGCACAAGCTGACGTTACCTCTCAGGAGAGGTTAGATATGAAAGTAGGCCATATTTTCTGTCTCTGAATCAATCTGTTTAAACGTACTAATTAAACAACGACATTGGCACGTGCAACAAAAGTTTCTCACAATTTGAAAGAAACAGAACAAGTAAGAGAAAATTTTACCTCTGACCTATTTTTTCATAAATTACTCTTTAATTTGATTTGCATCCTGAGGGACATTCACATCCAGGGGTACGTTTGGAATGATTTGACCGACAATTCATGCTGTGCAATACACAATGACGTTTTCGTTCGTTGGTTAGTCGATCAGGAGGTCAGCATACAACAGGAATGAGCAAGATAGATACAGGCATCCGTTTATACACGAAATAAATCGTCTACGATACAGCAATTCGTGCCTTACAGAGAAAGTGAAGAAAAGTATAGAATACAGCGGATATCACAAACCAGGAATTTTCTGCTCGTGCAAGCGGCTAAAGAGCTACATGCGATCCATTCTTTCCTCATAGACACAAACGGCGGTTCCAACAATGCATCGAACAGCGAAGTGAAACTGTGACAACACAACGGCAAGCAACAAATGCATTCCGCCCGTCCCCCTCCCAGTGCATGTATCTGGCTCGCAGTGAAAGTTGTATGATAAGCCGAATAGGTATCGAACAACGCTGTCATTTGGCTACTCCTACTACTTCACTGACTGAGGATGAATCCGACGCAGCGATCACGAAGACCAGATGCTAGAAGGCGTTGCAACTGGATAAGAGTGACGAGAAACAGAATCAAGAGGCCATACCTTCTAACAAACACGTATTATGGCAACAACTAAAAACAACATAGGATGTTTCGATATTCAGACTTGCACTGTGCGCATCTTTTGTTGTTTCATTTCCCTTCTTCCTTCTCATGAATCAACTCGCACTGACCAGCCGATCGTAATGCGCTTCCGGCCCTAAGGACAGCTGATAAACGTTTCGATTAAATTATTTTTATAGGCTTCACTTTCATCCTTTCCGACCTCGCAGACAAGCACTTCCGTCCTGTTCTAGCAAGTCTTAACTGGCTGCTACAATATTACTTTAGATTGCCTACCAGCAAATAAAGTGATACGTTATCGAACGACCAAGACACCATCTTGTAGACCAGCTGCCGGCTTAGAAATCTTCAAATAGTGTCAATCACCAGTAGTTATAAAAAAAACCATCGTATTAAGACGCATAACAATACAATATGCATACCTTATTGTCTAGTTTCTACCGAATCTGCCGTCGTTTACATGAAAACAGTCCGTTCAGCGAAGGCGAAAATTCAAAGCAAATTTTACTAAACACAACACGATAAGGCACCTTTCATCAAAACATACCCAAAAAACTAATGTACTATGCATAGAACTATAAATAAGGCAGCGAGCTAAAACGACAAAATGTTCGTCGTGTCCTTCAACACGGTTCCACATCAATTTAGGGAGTACTTGTCCATCATGCTGTTCATCGACGAGATATTGTTAACGTTGCTATACTGGCAAGGCCGAGGCTGTTCGCCAAAACAATTATAGATGAATTCGCCTGGGACTCCGTCCTGCTTACAATAAGGCACCTGCGTTGGTGGCGGCATCGTTGGTCTTATAGACGGGTTGCCGTACGAAGGTCCGTCGCCAACGATGCACTGTGAAGCACACACTCCGGAATAAGGACCTTCAAACCTCGGTCCTAAACCAGCAACAGGGCCGTCTCGCTGGTACTCGAAATACCGTTGCTGTTCGTTCAGGTTGCAGTAACTGACCCCCGGTGAATTGAAGAACGTCGGATTAAGCGACGATTCGCTTGGAATGCGGTAACCGTTCATGACGTAGGGACAGTCCGCATTTGGTACCATTTTGGAGGCAATTGCACTGGTAGCACAGTAGTTGTCCGCCGAAGCTACCAAATCAGGAATGAAGTAGGGTTGACGGACATCTTCGTCGATTTCCAGCCTCTCTTTCTTAAAACAGTGAATCTGCTGTTGAAAGACGTGGTCATCGCCGTCGGGCCTTGAGAACCGAGCGTCGAACGCAACAGGGGGCCCAGAAGCAGGCTGAGGTTGTTTCATCGATCGTTTCGCTTGCTTCAGTTCGGCGACGTTGTTGTTCCCTGAATCATGCACAAGCTGAAGAAATAAACTATTGGAAACTGCGATGCCACTGTGAGCCACAGCTTCATATGTGGAGTTTGTTGCTACGCTGCAAAGGGAATTTAAAATTGCACTGCCATTCGTTGTGGCACACGTCGAGGGCGGAGCATGAGGATCAACGGTACCGGTAGAAGAGGTGCCGAAAACACGATCCAACTCTGACAAGTACTGGCTGGTTACAGCGTCGACTACCGATGGGTCAAATGAACATGGCGTGCTCTGGAAAATGTCCTCAATAACGTGCCTCGGCAGATTCAGGTCTGACGCAAAACGATTGAGGTGATCATTGGCACACTGCTTGGCGGCGGCTTCCCGAGTCACGACGTTCGTCGCCCCCTGACACATTGCACGACTACAGCCGGCGCCGGCATCGTCACGAGGTACGTCCAAATACGGCACTACACCACCACCACTTTCGACACCGACACTATCTGCATTGAAAAACATGTCCGCCCTGTCACCCATTCGGTTGCACGAGCACGTATCAACGGACTCTGACCACGGTGCCGGACTGCCTCTCCTTCTTTTTCGCTTCAGCTATAAACAGAATGACACTGCACTGCAATACATGAATGAGATCTAGGATCACAGCATTTATTTCGAATGCAAAAATCATCCACTAGCATGACTTCAGATTTAATGCTATTTGCGTTGTTGGCACTCTAACCGTCGTGGTGGTTCACCTCCACTTCACAAAACTTCATTCAAGACTTAAGTGATAAATATACGTGATCATGCAGCAGAATGGTATTATCTTAAAATGCAATTGCCATAAACACAGGCTCCTAAGTTGGAATGTCTTACCAAGCGCTGATTTACTCTTCGTCGGACCGGGATAAACAAGCCATTGTTGGAAACGTTTGGGCACGCGATGCGAATGCTTTCAGAAATGAAAGTGAAAGAGTCACCATTTGCTCAACCGACCGGCTGAAGACCCCGTGGATGGCCAAGAATTACCTACGGCAAATGTATCGAAGGACTCTGTTTGAAATTTAGGTTATCTTATGTCGACTGACTGACTGACTGACTGACTGACTGACTGACTGACTGACTGACTCACTCACTCACTCACTCACTCACTCACTGACTGACTCACTGACCGACCGAACTAGGGTAAAGATCGTAACATACTGTCTCACGACTTACTTTTAGTTGTTTACAAGACATTTAAGTAGGATCACGGCTGAACTGAATTTTAACACCTGTAGGGTATTAGAGGGACGGTTTATACGGTGAGAAACGCATCTAGCATAGAAGGTGTTTAAATACCACAAAGCCATGACTTTTTTAAATGGCTCCGTAGGTGTTTTGGATAAGAGGGGTCGCGTAACACGCGAGAACCTGACAGCTTGATGAATTAAGCGCTTGTTAGCACAGCACGGATACCTAATCCATATTTTTAGCTGTTTTGCGAAAGAATAGAACAAGCAACCGCACCTGAAACGTCGTTGATGTTAGCATCAGTGTAGCAAAATTATCGATACGCAATGCATCTGACACTACAGATCTCAAATATTATGAAGTACTTCCTGGCTAAATGCCCCCCCCCCGCCCCCACCCAAAAAAAACTAGGAACGCCGTAAATACAGCAAGTGAATGAGCAAAGTGCTTAAATTCAAATTGACAAGGATGAAATGCGGCACTACAAAACAAAATATCTCAAATTATTTGGCAAAAGCATGTGAAAAATGAGAAATAGAGGATATGAAGAGCTACAGGGCGGACAATCTGCCGCCATTAAAACACAAGGTCTTCACGAAGTATTGAAGAATAGATTTCAAAAAAAACTGTAGCCCAAAGGACAAAACAGGAATAGTGTACCATCTTCAGGTCCACAAAGAATCTAGAAATGCAACGAATCTCAGCTTCCTCGTTGACTAGCGTTCATCGATTTCGGGAAGGCTTTTCGACTCAATCTATATATCGGTTGTGCACTGGATTCCTTGAGGAACCAAGGAATAAAAAAAGCTACTGAAACCTCATTGAAATAATGATTTAAAAAAAATGCAACTGTTAGTACGAATCTTTACGAAAGCCAGGAAAGTTCAGATCGAAAAATGTGTTAGACAGGGTGATACTATATCACCAAAGTTAAATTTATAGCTACCTTAGAAGAGGTTTTCAAACTCACTCTGTTGGGAAAAGCATGGGCTGATTGTAAATGGCTACTGTTTGGGCCACCCGTAGCCTGCAGACGATATTCAGAACTTCAAAAGGTCGACAGAAGGCTCTAACGAAGAATCTAGGTGCTGAATGACGTCCTCAACAAAGTAGAACTGGGCATGAATCTGAAGAAGACTTAGGCTTGGAGAAGTGAAAACTATGTTTATCTGGGACAGCTTGTTTCTGCAACGGACAATCAAATATGTTAAATCAACAGAAGACATGGAACACTTTTGGAAGATTAAAAGTGTTTTTATCTTGGAAACTACTCATGTGCTTGAAACGTGAATTTTTCGATCAGTGTGTGTTCCCAGTGCTAACCTATCGGTGTAAAACACGGACTCTAAGCCTAATAGCTATTCATAAACAGCAGAACGCAACACGGAAAGATATCTGTTACAAAAGACAATAAAGCTATGAAGACGAAGGAATGGGTAGGGGTTTGAGAAGTAGCAATGAGCATGCCACGTTGTAAGAAGAAAGAAGAACCGATCATCGCTGGACGAAAGCGACATTAGAGTGGATTCAAAGAGCCAGTAAACGGTCCGTAAAAGCATCACCTGCACGATCAGCTTACGAAGTTCATTGAATCAAGGTGGATAAGAATCACAGAAAACAATGCTGATGGCAAAATCTTGAATGGCCCTTCATCCAGCAGTGAACCGAAAAAGGCTGGCTGGTGGGCAATCCAGTCGGTGTGTCAGATATATGCGTATTTACTATTAAAACAAGGACTGATCAGTGCGCAGCCATTTTTCAAACCAGAGCAAGATCTACGATGGCCTGGAATCTCACTGTCGCAAACCACCTTGGTTATTACACAGGATCTGTATGGATAAACTATGACTGGTACTCCATGTGTTGCTTAGCTTTATGAAAAATCAAGAAAGAATTTAGTTATGCAGGGACAGAAGTTTAAAATTAAGTTCTGGAGATTTACGAAGAATTAAATTATGGAAGGATGAAAACATTTTTAAAATTAAAGCATATAAACCGGATCTACTAATAAAACAAGTTTGTTAATAGGTGGAGAATGATATGCGGGTACCTAGTGGGAAAAATGTAATTTTAAATGTAATAGGCAGTCGAATCTAACCTTCTATAGACGTTTTACTGCGCTTGTCGGAATTAGTACATCTAAAATTTTCTGCTGCGCAAGTGGGTTTCATTTCGACTGCTGGCGTCTTCGAAGACGTGGTTTTTCAGGTAGTTGCGTTGTTACGGCAAATCATGCGCATTTATAAAAACCAGGTATTATGCAGATGTAAATATACTGTACAGCAGTGGAGCACAGTTTCGTGAACAGTCACGCGAGAACAAAAAATCAGCACTTATGCCAAATAAAATTCTGTTCTATGTTCAACATATATGTCTAAATATGTCTATTCTTTTCATGTTCTACCCCTACACATTCCAAAATTACTTGTTCTTAACAATCTGCATGCTCAAGCATCATTTCACGATTAAATAACGTTAGATATGACAAAGGAAAACAGGTCATGTACTTTATCGCGACAATATTATGTATTTATGCGCTATGTCTTATGTTGATATATCAACATATCACGTGGTGAGTTATGGAGAGTAGCAGGAATCAGGCTCACGTATCGAGCAACATGGTCAGTAGATCTATGAATCAATGAAACGACCTTACAAAAATACCATGCTTGTTAGCAGGTCAACCAATTGCTGCCCTCCTCTAAGCTGGTTACACTGAAGCACAGTAAGGTTAGTTTTCAACCATTAAAGAATACTAAAGTGTAAAAGAAGATTCCAGCATAGATTTCGAATGGCAATACGATAAGATCAAAACTATGAATGTCTAGCAATAATCAACACAGGAAAAAACCATTAACTATAAAACCACCCATGAGCGAATCGGCAGAAAAGTCCAAATGAAGATAAACTACACGGAAGCGACACAGGATCTGAATTACTCTGAACATTTCAAGGACCAAGTCTAGTTATCAAATCAAGCCATATATTTGGAGAAGGCAATTTTTCTAAATGACAACGGACTGATTGATTTCTGCATTCTAATGACGCTAAGAGAAGTTAGGTCGGTCATGCGGATCATATCAAAGAATCTTTGGATGCCAAGAATTACAAACTGAGTTCTGCTGGACCACTAACACCCACTGAATCATCCAAGCACGTGTTGGGACTACCTGATGGCTAAAATTACTGTATAACAGAGAATACCGAAAGAACATAAAGTTGCGCTTATGAGGCACCCATAACGAGAACAAATCGAATAAAGAATACGTTATTCTGAATGGGATTGAACAGAAATATCCTTTTTGTCATTCTCCGAATCAAAATATAAGCTGGAAGTGAGTAAAGATGCTGGAAACCTCCAAGGAAAAGACGTGTATCGTCGTCACGTAAATAATACCGTTGCCGAAGTAATCTACAACGTCTCGCCTTACGTTTAATATGCAGGTACAGCAGATACTGCCAAATATCCATGTTCCATCACTCCCAAATGCTAACAATCAGAACAGGTCATTAATTCATTGGCTGACTCACTTTTTCAGCTCCCTATTCGTTGCGGGCTGCGAGAACAGTAGCTTCGGTAGTTTCGGCAATGGCTCCGGTCCTCTGTCAATGGGACTCGCACCTCGAGCTCGATTAAAATGCATTTAAAGGCCAGGCTCTCCATTTACTCGCACTATGTAGCTTTACGGGTTGTAACACTTAATGGCATTAGTTTTTGAATCATATGGTTAGGAATGCTGGTCACAGACGGAAAAAAGCAATCCCAGAAACAAATAACAGAAAAGAGGTACATTTAAAAGATCGCCGTGCGCTGAGGCTCGACAATCAAAACAAGGCAATACGAGATACCCTTGCGTGCGAGTCATTTTTTATGTCGATTATCACAACTGCGATGGATTGAACACGTGATGAGGATACAAAAGAAAAGACTTCCAAAGACAAAATCGCTTAGCAAAATCACATGGAAGAGAAAGAGGAGGGGACAGAGACAAGGTGAATATTGAATTCGGCTACATTATACAAAATACTTGGCAATGTTCCATCTTGTAATCCAATTCCTGTTATTTACCTGATATTTGTAGCAGGTGCTCACTGGAAAAGCCTTTAGATCGCAGCTGTAACATGATCGGAAAGGAAATGAATTACTGACAGAAATCTTTATGCAAAGCACATAAATGGCATCCATCATGAAAGTGAAAGAGGATGAGATCATCATTCAAACAGTGACAAAATTTTCTCATTTCGCTTTTTATCAAAAACCTCTAAATCAAAAAATTATTACAATTTTATGAAAAGGTTCTGCAACACTCTCAATTCTTCGACAGAAACCAAGAAGACCGTAAGAAAATTGCAAATTGATTAAGATTTGGGATATTCTCTTAGATCTCAAAATTTCGCACTCAACGATGGTACTTACTGCGTCAACGAGGCAAAAATTCCTCATTGATAAAAATCTCATTTTTTCAGTCACTTACTGCGTTGCCCACGATCATTAGTGCTTCATGCTAAGGTTCTAACTGTAATAGGTGAAAAACCATTTAAAACTGTCGAATCACTCCAGCACCATGTTTCTAGTTATCTTAAATATGAAGATAAATCTGGTAAACAAATGAACATTGTCCTTTCTGATGTGACCACACCATCTTATTCTAAGCTATATATTTCAGCTTCTACACTTTAGGTAAGCCTTATTTTCATGGTATTTGAGCACCTGCAATGCATGGATGCCTAGCCCTACTATGCTTGATCAAACAAAACATGTTTGAACAAATGCTAATATACTTTGATCCGCACTATAACCATCAGCCTTTTTCGATCCTGCTAGAGGAAGCCTCCAATCCTTCCTACAATATTTCTCTACTTATATCTAAAAAGAGAAATATCTACAGGCACAAGGGTATCTACAGAAACGAAGTGAATCATTTTGTTCAGGAATTCAATTCAAATGCCGAAAGCCATTTTACGGGATGACACCGCATTCATATCCAATTTATTATATACGCATTCTCCAACCTTTCGGATCACGTTCGGTGTAACTTCAGAAAGAGACATCATATAAAACAGAATCTTACACTAGCAAATATAAATATAAATTAGTAAATCACTGACCATCGCTGACCGCATAGAACAGAAATCAGCCGCGTATGCGGTCTCTACTTCGTGGTTCTATCAAACAGCACAAACCAGCCGTAATACAGTATAAGAGATGATAGCAGCCAAAAGGCGACAAAAAGCCTACCTGTTCGACAGTTTGGACGCTGCCTGGCGGGAACATCTGATCCTTGTCGGTGGCAGTAGTTGGCGTGAACGACAAGCTCTTGTTCTTCATGTACTCCTGTTCCATCTTCTTCATCTTGTTTTCCAGGTGCCGCTCGCACATCATACGGATTTCGCGTTCTTTTTCGCTGCCTGGCACGCAGTCGAACTCGAACTCGGGCAGCTTACGCCTGAACTTCTCTGTTTTAATGACCGCCTGTCTTTTCCAGAATTTCATGTCGTTCAGCAGACCTTGCAGGTCCGGAGAGACCGATGTGGACGGTTCATCACAGGTGCCATTCACACCAGTGCCACCACCATCGGAACTAGCCATGGAGCAGTCGGGCTGCGACACTTTCGGCGCCACTACCATCGCTTGCATTGAGGGACACACTACAGTTCGTCGTACTTGTCACCGACGAACGACACTTGCCGTAACTACGAACGCTCACCGTCA